ACTGTTCTACGTTGTGAAGCCCATTCCAAATTTGGAAGGAGACATTCTTATCCTCCTTACTGTTGAGGTCCAGACTCACTCCTTTACCTACCCATCTTCTATTTATTTGATATCTGATATGGTTTTTTTTTCTTTTTTGAGACAGAGTCTCACTATGTCCCCTCTGTAGAATGATGTGGCATCACAGCTCACAGCAACTTTAAACTCTTGGGCTTAAGTGATTCTTAATCCTTTTGCCTCAGCCTCCCAAGTGCCTGGGACTCTAGGCTCCTGATACAATGCCCAGCTATTTTTTTGTTGTTGTAGTTGTCATTGTTGTTTAGCTGGCCCAGGCTGTGTTTGAACCCACCGGCCTCGGTGTAGTGGCTGGCGTCATAACCAGTCTGCTACGGGCACTGAGACTGATATCTGATATGTTCATGGCACCATGAACAAGACTGCCCTGAGAGGCCAGGCATGGTGGTCCACACCTGTAATCCCAGCACTCTGGGAGGCTGAGCCAGGTGGATCACCTGAGCTCAGAAGTTTGAGAACAGCCTAAGCAAGAGCAAGACCCCATCTCTACTAAAAATAGAAAAACTAGTTGGGCATTGTGGTGGGCACCTATAATCAGCTACTCTGGAGGCTGAGGCAAGAGGATCTCTTAAGCCTAAGAGTTTGAAGTTGCCATGATCTATAACACCATGGCACTCTACCTAGGGCCACAGAGTGAGACTCTGTCTCCAAAAAAAAAAGACTGCCGGGGACCTTGCCATCACAAGTTCCCTTGACTCAGGCCTCCTTATCTAAAATAAAACAGCCACTTCTCCTTTGCTCTGCTTTTTTCTTTTTCTTTTCTTTTTTTTTTTTAGAAAGAGTCTCACTTTGTTACCCTTGGCAGAATACCATGGCATCATAGTCATAGTTCACAGCTCTTGGGGTAGAGCAGTCTTCTTGCCTCAGCCTCCTGAGTAGCTGGGATTACAGGTGCCCACCACAACACCCAGCTATTTTCAGAGACGGGGTCTCTCTCTGACTCAGGCTGGTCTCAAACTTGTGAGTTTAGAGAATCCGCCCCCCTCGCCTCCCACAGGATTACAGGCATGAGCCACCACACCCAGCCTCTTCTGATATTTAAAGGCATGACTTGATTTAGGTAATTAATCTAAACCTGTCATCCTTCAGTCACAGACTTCAACCCAAGTAACACAGGGCAGAAAGATTACATTTTTCTCTACCAATCCACAGGGAAACATCTGCGTGGTACACCTTGTGGTAGTCTCTCTTATGTGTGTTATGGGCCCTTAGTAATATGTACCATGACCTCGGATCTCCTCATGTCTCTTTTGTGTGATCTCACCACTCGTGATGCCCATGTTAACCAACACAGTCATCATGCCTGGTGCCTTTGGGTTCCCCTGGTGGGGGTTGTGTATAAAATGATATTTAAGATTCAGCGCCAGGCTTGGCACCTGTGGCTCAAGTGGCTAAGGC